TTCAGCTGAATCCAAGTTTGAGCGATTTTCGTCGTAGTAGCACTTTCAGTATTGGTCTAATCTATTAGAATGATTTCAATAGATACCTCTAGCAATGTTTGATGTTGAGTGTATGACGTCACAGACTCCAAAAAATAATCGTAAAAATATCATACTTTCGTGCTGAATATCAAGAAAACACTTCATACAGTGATTATTGGACCTTTAGAGAGTATTTTTAGGAAGTTTCAGCTGAATCCAAGTTTGAGCGATTTTCGTCGTAGTAGCACTTTNTTCAGCTGAATCCAAGTTTGAGCGATTTTCGTCGTAGTAGCACTTTCAGTATTGGTCTAATCTATTAGAATGATTTCAATAGATACCTCTAGCAACAAGTGAAGTTAATTGGGAAATCTAGAAGGGTAGAAACTGAAGATGGTCGTTTATTGTGTCGCTAGTGGCGGGAAATTGGGTCTAAATATAGGAGAATGTCTGCTAATTTGACTTACTTTTAAAATCATACTTATAACATTCTCTTGAAAAAGTACTTTATATTTGGGTTAATGACTCCTGAAAAAAGAGACGAAACATTAGGAATGCCTATTTGGCGCAAACATCCACTTGATCGGTTGTCAGTAGAGGCGGGTGTGCCGGTTCAAGGGTCACAAGGTCACTCATCTCTTAATACACCACTCTTAAGATGACAAAAAAAACGTGACGTAGTGTAAATGGCATCTTACAAGATTAATTTCATTGGGCGCGCAATTTTAATGCTAAGAAGCAGCGGCGTAAAGCAAACACCGCTTCACGATTTCGAATCTAGCGGCTTTAAAGTCTTTGATAATTCGTGGTCGATCCTGACTCCTAAAGCTATTAAGCCTCTGCTACAAACACTCGACGATAATCCTTTTGAAGACGAATAATATAGTTACTGTTACTGTAACAGTGCGTCTAAAACCCTTCTTTCATCACTGGGTTCAGTAACCTACAAATATTACTGACACCTTAGCTGTATTGGCACTAGCTCTAGCTTTATTGCCATAAACATACGACTGATGACTCGTATTTATATATGGATTGTTCCCCCTAGAAATGGAAGGTTGAAATGCCCTGTCGACAGCTCAAACATCGATTATAGCGAGGTAAGTGATGAAGCAACTCATTCATATACTTTTTCTTTATTTTTTATTTTTACATGTGGGTCCTAGGATAATTTTTATGTGCAATGTTCGATAATCAAGCCCTTTCCCTACAGACTTCATGTAGCGTTGTATAAATTTTTGACGTGTAGACAGATGTCATGTTCCGAGGTCTCGTATGCCACAGCCATTAGTGTGTTTCCTCCAGTTTGTTCCGTTTAGGGTCTAAAATCTGACTTGAAAAACTTTGAGGTTTCGTGGGAAGGTCAACATCGCAACACAACACTCTTTCGTTACTTAATGGGTGTCGATTTTTGTGGTCATTAGCTGAACTTCACTGTTTGTGTGTTCCTAGCTTAAATAAACGTTCAGGAGAAAAAGACTCTGGAATAGTTTGATTTCTTATCGAACAAAACTCTCTATAACGGCCACCTAAATCTGTTTAGTTGCTGTTCGATTTAGAGAGGTCAATTTTGAATAATTGTTAGGATAAAAGAGGAGCTTTTTCGTTAAAATGACCTTCTTTTTGGCCATCGTTTCTCTTTAGAACATTTGTATACGGTACAGGAGCCTTTTTACTACGAACGGTGCAACCTGTACAGACCGACCATCCGACCGATCGACCAAGCATTCGTGTGCGGTATAAGACATGTGTATGTTAATACAAGATAAGCTAGCGTCCACTACTTCTAGTCAGTAGATATGACTATAGTTAGCATGACCTTTGCTGTGGTTCATTTTTAAAAGATAACCAGTCGAGTCTTGGTTGGTTTGTATTTCCTTTTGTAATCTCATTCATCAAAGAAATCAAGCCATCCTTTTATATCTTTTTATTTTTTCATTTTTAGTTATTTGTGTCGTCAAGGCGTTAAGTTTAGGGAGGAAGTTTATAAATAAGTCTCTCTTCCGAAAACACTTGATACTTAACGCGGAAATGGTCGTATTTTTTTTCTTTGCATGCTTCGGTGATTGCGCGCTTTTCAGGGTATCTTTTTTCGTGTTTGGTATTGAAATCAGCCGTAAAATTCAGACTATTCAAAAGAATGCCTTTTCTTATGTCTACACTTGAGTCAGGAATCCATCAGATTGCCTAGATTTTAACCTTTCCTTACGTTAACCTGATTTAATTTTAATTCTTAGTGGTGGTCAAAATGCTGATTAAGATTGCCTTGGAATAAAGGTTATCGCCCGCATGGCCGGATCTAGTTCGCGCACTTTTTTGTAGTAATAAGTTCATAAGGAGGGAAGTTCGTGCGTTTTGTCACACCAACGCATGCGCAGCTTAGCGGCTAAAATTGGCGGGAAAATTATTTTAGGGACGCGAAGTGAGATAAAGGTTTTCTATCTACTCACTTATCTTGCCTGTTTTCATTGTGATTGCCACACAGATTTACGCAGACGATGTGACAAACCAATTGATAATGTCTTTGACTGTAATTTGTGACCAGTACAAAGAAGGATGCAAATGGAAAGGACAGCTAAAGCACCTGAAGGTTGGTGTTCAAATAATCTAACAAAAAATGAAAATATTCCATCGTTACATCGCAATAAAACTGCCAATAGGGGCTTTACACTATCGCGTGACGGCAGCCATTTTGATATTAGATGGTAGGAACAATACAATCGTTTACATGAGAAAGAATTCAATTCCCAAGAGCAAAGGGATTTTATTGTTCTGCCATCTAACCAGAGGCAGTCCAAGCTGTATTATGAGCGAAGGCACGTGATGGTGCAAAGCCTCTATATGTGCTGCAATTTACCTTGTGCTATCTATCAATGCAATTCCAGATTTTGTTACAACAAAACGGCAGCGTTTATCATGCCCAGTGGTACAAGCGTGCAGGTTAAAATGTTTCAGAGAAAAGTCCAAACATTTAAACTTTTTGCAAAATTATGAAATATGCTGCAATTTCCTTACGCGCTGGCAATGCAATAAAAGAAATTTGAGTTGACGATCAATAGTCCCCTTCACAGTTCCCTGCACCATCTTGAAAGGTAGCCGTGCCTTTGCATCGAAGCAAGACGAACGGTGAGCTTGCAATGATAGAGACCTGTGAATAATTGTCCAAGGTGTTAAAAAAAGGTCTCTATCATTGCAAATTCACTGTTCGCCTCGCTTCGATGCAAAGACACGGCTACCTTTCAAGATGGCGCAGGGAACTGTGAAGGGGACTATTGCATTGTGTCTCGCGGCCGGGGAAGCTTAAGGGTTGGTTTCCTGGGTGGGTTTCCTGCGTGGGAGGATATAATAAGATATATCAGGACCAGCCCCGGCAGTTTGAAGAGCTTCCTCGACCTGTTTATCTTACCTCACTGAAGAAAGAGAGAAACAAAGACAGAATTGTGCAATGTTTTCGAGGTTTGCTCCTGAGAGTTTCGGCAAAGCTCCTGTGCGCCAAATTAGACCAATTTAGTTTAGGCAAATTATTCATTTTTTATTTTAGTCCACGTAACATTCACTGGAGTATTGTGTTTGTTATAAAACAATTGTGAAGTTACCTTAAAGAAAATAAAGCAAGCATAACACAAACATAAAATTGTCACCAAAAGGTTTGAGAAAAAAATATATTACGCCAAAACTAAAAGGGTTGTAAGATATTTATTTCCTATCATGAGTTTATCCATACTCCAAGTCGAAATATGGAGACAATTTCTCACTGGACTCTGAAGATGACTTCCGCTCAGGTTGTCGAAACGTCAGTCCCCACCAACAATAGTCTTTCTCAAGACTACACTCACCCCGACGATCACACTTCACATTAAATTGAATAACTATGATTGTTCTGCTTTGACTAGCAACTGACTAGCCGCGTGTTCACTTGGAAACACAAAAGCGTGAACACGAGGCTAATCAGTCGCTAGCCAGTGCAGAACAATAGTTATTTAAATTGKACGCCATATTTGGATTCGTTCTGTGTATTTAGAGTTGATACAGATTGAAAAAAGATACTTTACTAGAATTCATTCGTTCGAGTTTGTCTTCCAACTAGAATGTACATACTAAGAATTCTAAGTTCTTCTTCCAATTCTGATCACATAGTTCTAATGACATCTGTCAGTCACTAATACTGATAACAAGATGTCTCATAGAATGACAGTGACGAAGCCAGGAATTTCCGAAGTGGGAGGCAACCCTAAAATCCGCAAAAGAAAGGTCTCAATTTTGTAAAACTTAGGAAGAAAATTAAAATGTACCGTATAAATTTAAAAAAGCCACCACCTTATTGCCGCGAGGGGGTGGGGGGAGCTATGGCTCCCTCAGCCCCCTGCCTACTGCCCTTTTATTTTGTAAATTATAATTCCAAACACAGTTTTTCACGAGGGTCTAAAAATATATATTTTACCTAAAATCAAAAGAAATTATTAATTGACATTTTTCCTCTTGATTCTGTCATTTAGACCCATGTAGACGAGTGTAAATACGTCCTCGCTGATTGTCCGTACATTTGTGGAGCCAAGGTACAGAAGTGCGAGATGAGTGAGCACACCCATAAAGACTGTCCCAAACGACGTGTTAACTGCCCAAAATGTCGACGAGAAATGACCTATGAACAGCTTAAGGTAATTTTTCTTAAAGATATTGAAAAATTGGTTATCGTTCTGGTATTGAAAAGTGCACGGTAACTAACTAAAATCGAGAGCGGGTCTAGGACTGAGTTGCGTGGCTTTTCCTCAGGAACAGATGTCGAACTATACATTTTCGGAGATTTTATTTCCTACTTTTTCGAGAAAATCCATACAGGAAGTAGGTTTAACAGGCACTTCCACCACCACCAACAATAACAACAAATATGAACACCCAAATGGACCTCAGTAGTTCTGGTGCTGTAGAGGTAAAATGTCTTACGTGTCGGGTAACTAATTCGAGTCCTGCAGATCCTACACGTGAAAAGTGAGATGTTATATTGTTCTGTCCCTTACCACAAGGATTTTTCTCCGGGTTTTCTGGTCTTTCTGCCCCCGAAAAAATCAACATGTGAGTTGAGAGTTGTGTTTATTGTATAGAATATTAAATGCGGAAGTAGTGAATGTGGAATGTGTCGCCCGTATACTTGAACATTAGCCACTGCTAGGACGACTTACCGTATCACGACGTAAAATAAAAAAGATTTATTATTTATTTTATTTATTTTATTTATTTTATTTTTATTATTTAGCGACCAATTATCAGTTAGCCAACCCTTACTTTACCGCTCAATAGAGGTTCTGTCATATAAGTAATCTTAGTTTCAATTACACTAATGACCTATTGTTCCCACGTTCAGTCTCATAGTTGTCCTGCAAAGCGAAATGCTGACGAGGAGATGATCACGTGTCCGAGTGGATGTGGTGCGCGCATGCGTAAACAGAACAAATCGCAACATTTACGCATTTGCCCTAACCGATGGATATACTGCCAACACTGTGGCACTGAAGTCGTCTATAGAGATAGACAGGTAATTTCTGTTGCTTCTAGTGCGTCCCTTGTTCGTGTGTTTTATCTTATGGTCTTGCTGTGGTGGAACTAAACCTCAACCCCTCCCCTCTCCCTTTTGCCACAGGGAGCCCATTACCAAAGAGATGTTAGTGATGCTAATCTGTGTCTTGGGAGGGGGAAATGATAAATATCCTTGTCTTTCCTAAGTGTCTTTTTTGTTTCTGTCCTCTATAAGATATACGACCGAGAATGTGCAACCATGCGACCCAAATACCTTGAGATATAAATATCAATGAAACCGCCGCCATGTTGGTTGATCTAACAAGAGAAGCTAATGAGGAATGCTTTGTTATCGTCAACCAAGATTGTGATTATGACGTAATATGCACACGCTCTATTTCTCAGCAGGCAGATAGGAGGTATATAGCAGGCATTACCTCACTCCAGTCCCTCTCCACAGGAAGCCCAAATCCATAGACGTAAATAATCCTTAGTAAATTGTGTGTCCAATAATTTCAACACTATCAAATAATATTTTTTCTATGTTTTTCACAGGAACATTTAAGTCAATGTAGAGTCTACAATTCCCGACAGCCTGGTGGTATTATACGAGGTGGGGCCAAACGTTCTAGTGTAAACACCACATCAGTGCGCTTCGATGTACAAAACGTGCGAAACAGATCCAGACATCGAGCTTCCGTCATCCATGAAGTACCAACTCCTCCACCACCACTACGATCCGTGTCGTTCCCAGCTTCTCTCAACCATATAGGACGTGATGAACCTGGGGGGTTTGGCAGCCAGGCTTTACATCGGGGATCGTCACGTGAGCAGATGAGCCGCTCCAACGAAGAACTTGACTCTGATGTTTTTACTTGCACGTGTGGGAGGAGAATCTTGAGAGGACAGATTACGAGTCACATGTCAGACCACTGTCCACGCAGACTCACTCACTGTCAACACTGTTCGATACAAATCAAATATGAAGACATGCAGGTAATCTTCTAATATTATTAGAATGCTATTAGTTATTGCATTTTCTTTTATACAGTAATACTATTATTAAGTAAATTTTTAACACACTCACATATATACATGCCGCAACACTAGAGAGAAAAACGTGTGCGCATACGCGCGTTTTGGCACGTTTTTCAAGAATTTAAAAGCTTTTTAGTACCTTCTTGGTATATTTATCCCAATATACAAAATACTCATAAACATCCCTTAGTGAGACCAAGATACTGTATTAATAAAGACAACATGAATTAATTAACCTTAAGTTTCAAGCACTGAAATCTTGGCATCTTGTGAAGTCCATTTGTCAGGCATGTTTGAAATTCAAATTTGCATATATTTTACAAGACGTTCTGGACTAATTGGTATACGGATTTGGAGCATGCGCAGATGTACAGGCTTGGTTAATAATGATTGGATAAGAGAGTTATTAACGTAACGGAAAAGTGTATTATATTCGTTAATCTTCGTTTTTTTTGATAGACACACCACCAGAGCTGCCCGGCTTTTCCTCTTAGTTGTCCCAATAACTGTGGAGTGGCCCAAATACCTCGCAGTGAGGTAAGCCAGCACCATCAATATCTTGTTATTATAGTCCCTATGACCATTGGACATACTGAGATTTTTGACGCTTTTTTTCAGGTTTAGTCTTGTTAGCATGTTATCTATGCCATTCATAGACACTGTCACTGAAGTGATTTTACTTGGCCCGTGAAACAGTTGTATAATTAGTGAATAACAGTCAAAGTAAAACTAAAGAAAACAATGAAACTAGTGACTATGTATTATGATGAGAGTGGTTACGCAAGCTACACTAGAAAAGGTTTCACGCTCTAAGGAAAATCMCTCTGATATTCTTTTACAGGAAAAATAGAAAACCTTTAAAAGCCTTTCTAATAGACCTCCCTCGTGTTGATAAATTGCTCTAAATTAAATGATGCCAAACTTGGACAATTAGGGGCAGATCCAGGATTTTTCTGAGCGGGAGGGGGGTGCACCCTTTGCTTACAAACTCAAACACCAATCATGCAGTAGATATCAGTTCATCTAGGGGGGGAGGGGTGTTTTTAAGTGTTTTTTTCTTTCTCTTATCAATATTGTTGTAATTTTAAAATCATTTGCGTCGTATTAATTGCCAGGTTGACCGCCATCTGTCACGTAACTGTCGCTCTAACGTGGTACGTTGTCCTTTTGAACACGCAGGATGTAAACAACAGGTAACAACAACACATTACAGACAACTAACCAACGACTAAAAAAACAATCAACTACATCTAACACTAATAACACTTACTTAACCATCCACTTAACGCAGTTGCGAATCTAGAAGAATTTCAAGGCTGTTGGGAAGCACGGGTGGTGTAGCGGTGCGAGTTCGAGTCCCGYCGGGTTCGGTGTTGTATATGAGTAGAGTTGTTTGTTGGTTCTCTCCTGTGCTTCGAGGGTTTTCCGGGTTCTCCGGTTTTCCTCCCTCCGCAAAAATCAACTCCTAAATTCCAATTCGATCACGGATTGAGGGCCACAGGTTTGTTAGCCACTGGTTATTAAGTGCTACCCTCGTGAAAAAGGACGTTAACTCGATAAAGCTATTTTTTGTTCTTATTATTGTCAAAGGGTTTGGTTATTCAACCAATCCATCCCTCCTGAATCCGCCTCGAAAACGCGTACCATGTAAATACTACGCCGCCTCCACGGCCACTCCTTCTTTGGAAAATCAACCCCCACCTCTCCTAACTAGTTTTTGTCACTTCTGATTCTCTATTCTCTTCTGTAGATTCCTCAAAGAGGACTTCAACGTCACTTAGACGACTACGTTCACAAGCATCTAGAATTAGTATCTGATCTTGCGATTCAGCAACAAAAGGAAATCAACTCCCTGAAAGAGATTGTCCAGCACTGCAAGCCATACCACGACAGCAAACTAATCTGGAGAATAGACAACTTCTGGGAACGATTCGACCAAGGAAAACGCAAACCAGGATTTGAACTACAGAGCCCTGTTTTCTACACGTCAATCTACGGGTATAAATTCAAGGTAGTATTGTTTCCCTATGGTAACGGAAGTGGCGAAGGAACTCATTTGTCGTTGTATATTCGCTTATTACCTGGAGAATATGATGCGTTATTACGTTGGCCTTACGAAGGCGAAGTGACTCTCACCCTGATGGATCAGAGCGAGGACCGAAGGGCTCGACGCCATATTAGTCAGTCTTTTAGCCCGGATCCCAACTGGAAGAGCTTTCAACGTCCAACTAACAATACGCGCTCCTTGGGATTTGGGTATCCGCAGTTTGTATCGCATCGCGGGCTCGAGTCTACGGGATACGTTAAAGACGACACTCTGTTTCTTAAAGTGATGGTTGATTGTAAACATTCAGCTGATGTATAGATTTCTATATATACAGCAATTTGACTGTTTGGGCTTCCTGTCTTTTACATTGGAAATACAGTCAGTACAGAAGGCCATTACAAATATATCAACATGAGGGATCCAAAAGTTGTTAATTCGGTGTTGCAGGATCAAAAACACTCCTCCTTTACCTAAACAATGTTATTATTTAAAAGCTACACACGTATCACGCATTGAGCTGTGACGTGTAGATCTCCTCGCCTCGGGCGTAATGTTTTCCAAATTCAGACCACATGTCATTCCCTAGAGTATCATTTCTTTGTTTAACGGTTGCACATGAGAAGACACATGGATATGAATACAAATCAAACAAAGAATTTTATTCTCGAGGGAATGACACGTGGTATGAAATGGGGGAAAACATTACGCCTGAGCTAAAGAGGTCTATCATACTCAAGGGAATGATACGTGGTCTGAAATGGTGGAAAACATTACGCCTGAGATGAGGACATATCTTTCCGGGTCCAATTATTTACAAACATCATTTCTCAATGTTTTAACATTTATTGAAAATAATAAAACTATGGACAACAATTCCTACCATGAACAATATGTAAACAAACCTGGAAGAAAAAACTCTTTCTGTGTCTTAATATAAATTATACCATTTGCATTCTTTTTCTTTGTCCTTGTCCTCTTTAAAAAAAAAGCATGCTCTTCAACTATAGTTTGGACGATTTTTTTCAAATTTTAACACCTTTCTTCATCCAGTCCAATTTGCCTGAAGCCAGATGACGTTTTACCCTCGTCTAGACCATACTCCTTTTCACACTGCTTTTGTTCTTTAATTATGACTATTGTTCATGTATTCCCTAAAGAATCAAAAATTTTAATACAAAAGAATGTTTAATACTATTATGGTATAGTGTCGGTAAAACGTCATCTCGCTTCAGGCTTATTAACGTATGATTTTCATATCATTTCATTTTGCCCTATCATGAACACAAGCCATAGGATATAGCCTATAACGATGAAGTAGACGTCATTGTTGGTGATTTTTCAGCAAAAGTAATGAACTATGCATGGTTTTGATCGATTTTGGA